TATCCATAAATAACAGGGAATTAAAATGACTATCAGTGGTTTATTACTGATAATCTTCAAATGTGCACAGTCTGGTAAGGGTTCATAGTAAGAACATTGCAATAGACAGAAAGTTCAGTTCTTTTTGTGGCATGCAAAAAGAAAAAAAAAAAGATAATAGTCATTCCTCTTCCTCCCCATAAAATTAGACAAACCATGTAAGGATAAATGATTAATTTTAAGACGCCTGTGACTGTAATATCTTTAAAAAAAATGGATGAAACAATTATTAAGGAAAGAATCTTGAGATATGACATCAAATAATCCTGAGTTATAATTGTTTCTAACACTATCCAAGAGTATGTCTGTAGTGGGACTAAACTTTTGTAGTTTTTAAAACAATAGCCAAAATTATCACTAATAACATCAACTGCTATCTAATTTCATAAGGCAAAGCACCACCAGATCTCTGACACATCTAGGAAAACTTTATAGAAATATTCTAAGAGCTGCAAAGACTGTTTTCCCTAAGAATAAAACCAAATAAGATAGGAAAGGCAACAGCATAACTACAGAGACTTCCCATAAAGCACACAAAATTTCTGACACGTTTCTGTTAATAATCTGCCTGTACAAATTTATCTAGATGAGCCTGAACATCTCTTCCAACTTGACAGTTTATCCGAAGGAATTCTGCAGACAAACCAAATTATTTTCAGTACCTCTTTTCAAATGTGAAAGAATACATTTTTGTGATTTTGCCTAGGGATCTTCTGGGAAATCTCAAAGAGAGTTTTCATTGTAAAAGATATCTTGAAAGTTTTGTTTAATTTTTTCTAGACTTAGAATACAATTATGGAAAGATAAACATCAGAAAAAAAATGTCAGAACATATTTGAACATAATTAATATAGGATTGGAGTGCTATAGATGCAATACTAAATTGACTATTTGATATAAAAACATTTAAACAGTAAAATATTGAAAAATAAAGATGCACATTAACATAATTGTAAATAAATTTAGCTCTTTATAAATGATGATTCTCTCTGTTCTTTGCTTGGTTTTATTTTATTTTTTCTTTTTCTTAAAAAGCCAAGCATGTAAAACCTTTGGATTCTGACAGCAAAAGTGAGGTTACCAGAGTGGGTGGGCACAGAATACAGGGGGCCCAATGGACTGCTGGAGAGCTAGTGAGACTTTGGTGATGGGCACGGTGTGTTAATAATACATATGAAATGTGAGTGAAATTCCTAAAACATATATAGTGTTGTAAACCAGTATTACAACAAAACAAAAAAATGAAGGATATAATAAATTTAATATAAAGCACTAAATTGTAAGATACATAATATTTACTAGCATATATAATGAAAAAAGAAAAGAAAATCATTCATACAGTAAAGGAATTAACAAGTAAGCCAAGAAAGCAAACCCATCAAGATGGGAAAAGCTTTACTAAATCTTTTAGTATTTTTCATTGCTTCTCAGATGGTAAATCAAGGTACACGATAAAAAACTAAGGCAAGAAATATTTACTTTCAGTTTTGCCCTTTGTTTTACTTTTTCATATCACAGTAGTTCTCAGGGGATCTGTGAGCTTGAAACAGTTTTTATGTTAATACTAAGATGTTATTTCTGTTAACATTTCAACCCCATTGCTATGGTCAAATGAATCAGTACGAAAATGTGTGGGTGGTTTATATATAAACCACATAGACGATACATTAATCTGTCCTTAATGTTCATGCTATTGTCTCAATCATTCATATTCATTGTGACTTTTAACCAAAGTAACTTCTATTATATAGAGAAAACTGGAGAAAAAATTAAGACCTGTTCTGTCTTCTAAAAAAAAAAAGTACTTAACAAACTGACAAAGCTTATATTATACCTTTGTATAGTCACAGGCATTCATTAACATGATTCAAAGATAGGAAATTTTCTCAGGATCTAAGCAAAAGTATGTAAATTAAAAATATGCCTAATAAGTAAGGCATCAAATTATCAGTTTTTCTATCTTTGGTAGAAATTATCTAGATACAAATGAATATTCATTATATAATTCATCTGAATAACACTGTGTTTTTATGTTAATGAAAGATCTCAGGAATTATGTTCAAGTTAGTGTACTGAAAAATTTATTAGCTGTTGAAATAAAGTTATTAGTATAAAAATTCAATTTTGAATCTAATTTTTGAATACAAATTTTGAGTATCTTCAACACTGTGTAGGAGTAATATTAACTTATTTGGTCATTGTACCTGAGTAAACTTAAGCAAATCCAAATAGAATAAAATGTTTGCTTATATTATACCTAGCACTGATAAATTAGAGGAAAAACTCCTTTATACCAAAATTATTAGACTAGTCTGATACATCAAAGACTTACCTTAATTCCAAGACTTAATTTTCTAAACATTTCTGAGTTTCTATAAGAAAAATTTTCAAGTATGCCACATGTAAAGTTTCAAAACTAATTTCCTCATCTACTTGGAATTTTAGGAATATTTGATTTATACAGGAACTTATTTATATATGAATACTATAGGTAAATCATAACAAATCTTCTTTAATTTAGAAAACATTTTAACCTAATATATTAGTTCCCTCCAGATAGGAAAATATTGTATAATCATCAAAAAACATATAAAGGCATTTTCAATATGTGTGTGTGTGTGTGTGTATAAATATATATATACAGAATGAACTTAGTTTCAGATCTAAACATTAGCCAACTGTCAAAAGTAACACAAAGTTTATCAGTATATATATATCAAAAAGTTGTTTTCTTGCCTGATGGGTACATAATCCTTAATTTGAGCTCAAAATAGACAAGCAGAAAAATAAAAAAAATAAAATACTGGGTAATTGTTATTTCTCACCCCCAGAAAGAACAAATATCTATCTTTCATTAATCCATTTACAGAGATCCCAAAGGTTAGGCCATATAACCAAATTCCAAGCAATTGCTGCCACCAACAGTGAATAATTTTTTGATTGTAACTGTTTTGAAACAAACCCAAAAATAGGAAAAAGGAAAATATGCAAAGAGACATAGGATCAGCAGAGTGAAACTTCTGTTGCTACGAGGATTTAACTCTGGGAGTCAAGACAAGAAGTAACTGGGTTAAAATAGCCCACAAGGTGCAATACTTCCCCATCTACAAGGGCTACTCAGCCATTACGTGCCTTCACTGGAAACCACGGTGAAACCTCCAAAATGTTTACAGATTAATTGTTCCATAAGGGGAATAATACAACTGTCATGCAGATATAAAATGAATATGCCAAAAATTTCATTAATTATAGGAGTGAGGAACATATTACTAGAAGTTCAAAGGAGAATTCAAAAGCCAAAATTGGTAATAAGAAAAATCGAAATTTACAATTTACAAATAGATTCAAAACTGCTTCCAATAAATGTTGATATTAATTGCATTCCACTCAGCCTAATTGGCTTTTTTTTTTTTTTTTGCTACTGGTTATTTTTGTTTGTTTGTTTGTTTTTATTTATTTATACAAGCACTGGGTACAGTCAGAAGTGCAGGAAAGTGAGAGAATTCACCAGAGCCAGAGGAGGGAGCTGATCAGGCGGACTGACGAAGTACACTGCTGAGGGGAGCAGCGGGCGAGACAGGAGAGGTCTGTCACGCCATGTGAGACCCTCGCCGGCGGCCGTGGATCAAACCGGTGCTGTAGAGGCTGTGGGCAGCCCAGCCGCTCAACCGCTGCGCCACCAGGAGAGGCCCTAATTGGCTTTTTTATACACAAGAATATTTTATATTATTGTCAGTTTTCTACAACTTAGAGATGTAAAATAGCAAAAAGTTAAAAGCAGAAAACCCTTGGATAGGTAAGCCATTTAGAACACCCCCTCTTGTTATTACCCGTTTCAAAGTCTTCACAATTTTACTGACCGTTTAATAAAAGATGGTCCAATATATTCTTTCTTAGCTAGTATAATAAATTATCATGGGAAAAATACCAAATTTTCTTTCTATTCTCAGATCTAAATTTCTTATTATCTCTTCATACAAGAGAGAGAAGAAGTAACATGGTTCTTTTGTATGTGGAATATATAAAAGAACAAATGACTAATAATTTTCAATTGTAGATGTTGTATTTTGTAGTATCTCCCACTTCTCTGTTAATCTATACCACATAATGAATACTTGTACCCTTAAAAATTCCATACTATGATAGACTATACTGAGTAAAGGAAAATGATCAAAGCTGTTTTCACAAATTATAATTCAAAGAGCAGAGAAAGGAGGGAACCAATTGAAATAGTTTTTGAGGCGTTAAGAAACTTTTCAGGCCTCCCTGGTGGTGCAAGGGGTTAAGCACAGCATTATGAAGCAGTCTGCAGCCTCTGCAGCATAAGTTAGATCCCCAGCCAGCCAGGGAGCAACCCACATGACACAGCAGACCTCACCTGACACACCCACTACTCCCCCAGCATTGTGTTTCAGTCAATCTGCCTGTTCTGTTCCCCACTCTGTCTCTGGTGAATCCTCTCACCCCTCACATCTCTGACCTGTACCCCAGCTCTTGTATGCATAAATAAATCTTTTTTTTTTTTTAAAAAGAAACTTTTCATGAAATTCACCATGGCAAGTAGTTCTACTATATGAACCAATTCTAAACTTGACATCTTTATATCACAAACTTGAAATCAATATAGGATTCTTTTTAATGATTACACTGCATTCACAAGTATTCACAATGACTAAGAATTCTGCAGGTAAGTGACCCATGCAGTTCAAGCATGAACCAGAGACAATGTTTTGATCCCAGATTTTCTCACCAGTGTCACAACCCAGGGCTTTAAAGTTACTGATGGAATTATCACTGCTCCTGAGAAAAGGAATCTGGGGAGAAAACATGAAAATGTTTCCATTGCCACAGTCTTTTTAGTTCTGTTTGCCACACTATTGAAGTAATAAGAATTTCATTTTCTGCTGATTATTTGCATGATTTGCAAGGACTTAACTAACAATATGATTTACATGTTTTAGGCTGATCCAGGTGACAACTCTACCAGAACCTCTATCCAGACAGACCTCTACTTACAAGCTGTCATTTTTGACCACATTTCCAGAAGAAAGACTTAGTTATCAACATGTTATATGGTTCCTTAATTGCATGCTAAATTAAAATTAATCCTACTGTGTAATACCAGAAACAAATTAGAATACTAAATGAGTTCTGCAACTGAAAGGCAGTAAAAGTTAATAAAGAAATTAGAAAGAAAACTATAATCAGGACTTTTTTTTTTTTTGGTACTGATAGCCTCTTAATCTGCTTTGAGATTTTTCTAATTTTCCCCCCTTGAATACTGAAGCTGATTACAATAGTTCATGAGAGAAAATCTTCTTGTTATTTGGAAGATACAGTAATCATAGACATATAGCTTAAATTTTCTAATACAAAAATATTCCAGATCCTATTATTGCCAAATCTAGTGGACTAAAACTTATGCCATGTGGCATAAAATCATTGAATATTGATAAGGTAGTGGAAATTGGAATTTAATCATAGGAAAATAGAAATACAAAGTTTGAAATAGCATACCACTAAGGCCGTAAATAAAATTTGAACTGATGCTCAAAATGAATGAAAGTACTTGATATTTTTATGTGGACTATATGACCCCCATGACAACAAAGTTGAGAAGATGAAATCTAAAGCCAGAGAATTTTAGAGTAATAAGGACTTCATAAGAAAAGAACTTGGTTTCCTAATGTACCCTGCAGGTGGCTTTTGTATAGAAAAGATTTTATCCAGTTGTGATTTAAATGAGTATTTGGTTTTTCCTTTTTTTCCTATTTTTCCCCCAACAGAGCCCCTTTCTAAGCAATCCCACAGTAAACAATTCAGTGGGGCCAAGCAATGTAGAATTTTCAGTGTGCGCGATGGGAGAGAACTGAGTAGGGCATCAGAGTTCCAGTGGAATGAGGAGCATGTGTTCATGCAGGAAGTGAGAACTGGCACAAGATGTCAGAACTCAATCACTGCAAGCAGAATGGTGTTAAATTAGAATTGGATGTACTAGTGTGACCCTATTGTTTTCAGAAGAAACAGAATATATGTAAATGGGTGTGTTCATAAACTTCCCTTCCTTTGTCCACTGAGTCTCAGATCAGTAGCAGCCAATATCAGGGACCATATCTAGCATCCAAATCTTAAGTTTCTCAACACCATTTTCTACCCAAAGAAAGCAGCAACCTTTGGGAAAATGACTAATCCCATAGCTGAGGAAGGGAAATTTCAAGAATCTGGAGTATCTTTGTGCCAGGAAGCAAAGTTCTCAAAAAATGAATGGAATTTAGCAAAAGGACACTGAACCCAGCTTGAAAAGGTTTCCATTGGACATCATAATAAATCATGATAACGATGGGCATAAATAAGCAACCATTATTTCATACTGATCTACATGACTCAATAAATGAAAAGTTTGATGAGGAATGGAATGTACAAAATCCTTATTATTTACAGAGCAAACAATGGAAAAGCCTGGAGGATACCACTTTCAGTAAGTGATCAGAGAGAATATGAGTAGCAATGAGCTGAATTCACTCCAAATGAATAAGATGAAATAAGTTTCATCTTTTGTACCTTTTGTAGTAATTCTACCAACATTGCAGAACTTGAATCTTCTCAGACAAACCCAAATCTAGGGACGTTATATAAAATCGGAGGTCTTCAAATATGTCACAATCATGGGAAATAGGAGAATAGAGTGAAAAGGCATCCTCAACTGATGGAGACTGGAGAGACATAACAAACAAATGTAACATATGATTCTGAGTTGTAGCCTTATTCTATAAAGGGAAATCAGGGACATTGGTAAAAATTGAATGGCTTCTGAAGATTAGATAGTAGCAATGTAAAAATATTTATGTCCTGATTTGAACTACTATGTATGGTTATATAAAAGTTCCTTGATTATAGAAAATTATAGTAAAACATTTGGGAGTTAAGGGTATCATATCAAAAATTTATATTTAACTCAGGGGGGAAATGGTGTCCATGTTGTACTTATAAATTTTCTGTGAGCCTGGGATTGTTTGAAATAAAATAAATATTGATTATTTCATTTATAAAGTCAAAACCCTATTCCTTTATATTTTACATACAATGTATAAATTTTACTGTTCTCTCTATAGATTTGATGAAATTTTTAACAAGTATTTTGAATTCTACAGAATATTCAACTGAATTTCTTTAAATGTGTTAAATTTCATGTATTAACTATTACATTTAATTTCTAATTACTTCAAATTTCCAACTAGCAAATAAGCTTTGCTATAAATTTAAGTAATTAATAAATCTAATAAACTTGTGAATGTAATGTTGTTTATGTCCTCTCAAAAATTTCAATGTGGCTTATGAATTTATAAAATTTTACCTTAAAATTCTGTCTGAATTAATTAGTCAAAGATCACATTTTAAGTTGGAATAGACTAAATCTACTGTTCTAACATTCTAGAGTTTCTTGAGTGTTTTAACTTTTCAAAATAATTTAAGTATCAGTATTTAAGATATGTTTAACAGGTTTAATCACTAAAATATCAGTTGTCATCACCAGTAAGTAATGTATTAGCCTCTCAAGTGGATTTACTGATAGTACATAGTTACCAGAGATTTGAGTTAGGTTATGGGGTATAATTAGTTTGCTGGGGCTACCATAACAAAATGCCACAAACTGAATGATTTTAAAATGAGAATTTATTTTCTTACTGTTCTGGAGACTGGTAGTGTAAGACCAAGCTATCAGTAGGTTTGCTTTTCCCTGAGGCCTCTGTCCAGGGCTCACTGATGGCAGTCTTCACTATTTCCTTATATGGTCTTCTCTCTGTTCCCTCAAGTGTCTCATCATGCTTCAGAATGTCCCTTCTGATAATGTCAGACTGGATTAGAGTCTACCCTAATAAGTTCATTTTAACTTAATTACTCTCTTAAAACCCCTGTCCTCAAATTCATCACATTCTCAGGTATTATGTGTGGAAGGGGGTAGGAGGGAGGGGGTTGGGAGAGAAGGTAGGACTTTAACTATGAGTCTTGGTGGGATACAGTTCAGCCCATACCATGGAATGTAAATTATAAACATCCAGACCTTTTTTTTAAAAAAAAAGATTTATATATTTATGCATACAAGAGCTGGGGTACAGGCCAGAGGTGTGGAGGGGTGAGAGACAGAGTGGGGAAAAGAACAGGCAGACTGACCAAAAGCACTGCTGAGGGGAGCAGCGAGCAAGTCAGGAGGGGTCTGCTGTGCTATGTGGGTTGCTCCTTGACTGGCTGGGGATAGAACTCGTGCTGTAATGGCTTCAGATAGCTTCATAGGTTGCTTCTTAACCCCTTGCACCACCAGGGAGGCCCCATCCAGAACCTTTTTTATCATAATTACAACCTCTCAGTTGATGTTAAACCAAGGCTAGATTTCTGATGGTCCCAATATCTTACTTTTCGAAAAAGGATTGCTTTGTTTTCCAAGACGTCTGGATTCAAAAGCCTTATTACTTCATTTTCTAGTCTTATTTGACTGTAGCATGTAACCTGTTTGATGGATGTTCAATAAATCTGTGTAGGATGTCATTCTATTTCTGACTTGTTTTAATATTCTTTATATCGGAAGAACTACAGCTTCTATAACTATTTAAATGACATCTGATTGCACTGAGCAAATCACTTATGTATTGCCTGGTTCTGTGGTCACAGTTCTAAAGGGGAAACTAATGCAAGAACTGGGAATTCCCTTCATGGAATCTCATTAAAGTGACTTTCACCCAGCAAAGAAGAGCAATTACAGAACCTCCATGCACTGGTCCAGGCTACACGACAGAAGTAAGTTTAACCTCAAGCTAATGGTTGAGCACAAGATCAAAGAAAGGGAGTATGTAAAATGTATGTGAGAATAAGCAAAAGAGAAGTAAGCCAAACACAGGACCAAAGAATGAGTTAGTCAACCAAAAGGAAATGAAACAAGAAATTGAGCAATGCAATAAAGAGTAAAGAGCATTAAGAACCAGACAATTTGGCAAGCTGATGTTGGTAATTGGCCAAATCACTTTATCTCTCCAGACTTTGGCTCTTTAAGTTTCCTTTAAAATCCAAAACATCTATGATTTCTCCTTGCTGTTTTTCTAATCTATTTATGGACTCACTCAGGAGAATAGAATAGCCTTACAAGTTAAGTGTAATTTTCTCCAAGTGATAGTTTAAGTTTATTATCCTAGACTCTGTTTATAAGTGATGAAAATCCAATTTGAGGTTTTTTAAATAAAAATACCATGGTGTAGGGGTGTCTCCCAGAAGAAAAAGAGAGGAATATGTTTGCATCTCATGAATATCATAATCAAACATTAGAACTCCATTAGAACTCTACTTTCACTATATCTCATTACTGTGTTCCTCTCTGTGCATAATTATTTTTCTACAAAACAACCTCTGTTTCTCCAGACATACACATATACATCCCTCCCTCTCTCCTGCCCTTCTCTCTCTTTCTCTCTCTCTCTCTCTCTCTCTCTCTCTCCCCCCCCACCCCACCTTGACTCGCCTCTCCCTACCTCCCTTCTCATCTCTTTTTGTCCAATGTCCAGAATCCCCCAAAGAAAGTTACTTGACTTGGCTTCAGTCAGGAGTCTACCACCCTACACTATAATCTAAAATCTAAAATGGTTAGACTGTACAGAATTATGGTGCCCATAATTATAACAACTTTGAAAACCTTGAGCATAGATTAGAATCTTCATAAAATCAGATACTTCTGTTACAGAAAGAAATGCATCCAGGTCAATGGAGTAGGGAGAAAGGGTAGGAGAGAGAAAAGGAAGATGTCAGGAAGTCCGGCACACTGAGGTAAATCATTAGAGCATCAACTGATTCTTCCTCTTTGCACTGATGGTTATAACAGAGGGAAAAGCAACTGTGGTAATATGACTAGATAAATATTACTTTCTATGTTTCCTATTTTATAAAACTGTTTAGCAAGATAAGCAATTATGTAATCAAAAATGACCTGATATATATGACCAGCCTCTTCATTTGTATCTTCCATAATAATACAATTAAAATGTTGGACAACAACCATTAACCATGTAAACCTCAAGGAAATTAAAAGGAAATATCTACACATTCTTTTATGGAGGACCCATTATGAGCCAGATGCTCTACCAGGGACACAATAATGAAGTGCTTCCCTCAAGAAATTCACCAGCTTGGGGCCTCCCTTGGTGGTGCAGCGGTTGAGTGCTGGGCTGCAAAGCTGC